GTGAAAATATTGTCGGGCATAAACCGGTCCGTGGCGCAAAAAAGGTTGGAGACCGCTGTTGTAGGGGATCAAACACACATTTCACGTTATGACATGCAAATCAATTTATAACTTTTATATGTTTGTTCTTGATTTTTGGTTGATATTCTGTCTCTCTCCATTCAAATGAAATATTAAAATTTGGAGACTATTTATTTCTTTGTAAGTGGGATCAAATAATTATTTCCCCTCCATATATATTGTTGTAGAGGTCGAACGTGAAGTTCTTCTAGACCCCAACAGTAGATTGCAGTGAGTGTACTGGGCAGGAGTTCATTTAAGTTTTGCCTGCATTAATAATGGAGGCTTTAGAAGAGATTAAGATTTCTCAGCCAGATTTATTTCAGTAAATATCGGGTGACTGTAGCTCGGGAGCAGGTCAAATACTGATTGGAAGGTTGGTGGTTCGATCCCTGGCTCCTCCAGTCTGCATGTCAAGTATCCTTGAGCAAGATACTAACCCCAAGTTGCTTTTCGATGCATCCATCGGAGTGTGAATGTTGTTAGAAAAGCACTCAGTTTAGAGACAGTACTTGTGTGATTGGGTGAATGTGGCATGTTGTATACAGCGCTTTGTGCACTCCGGGAGAGTAAAAAAGCGCTATATAAGAATCAGTCCATTTAAATAATATTTATGCACCCTGACAAAATGCAAATGCAGATCATTTTTCATTTTCCTTATTAGATTCAAAGTAACTGCTTTTGAATTCCTTCTGAGGACGGCCAAAAGAGAAGATTTTTACCTACTAAAGAGCCCTGATTCTACAATTCTACAAATAATATTATAAAAATGATCTAAAATACAAACTCAGAAGTATAAAAAAAGATGTCCTCCACAGTGTGGAAAATAGACATTTATTTCATTTATTTGTTTTCTCCTACTGTAAAAGTTAAGAGCAACTCTTGAGTGGCACTAATTTAGATTTCTTTAATGTCTTTAAACTGTGACACCATTACTTTTAATTAAATACCTTCTTATACAGTAAATTAGGCATTTTAATTAAACATCGTCCATCTGTTATGGACACGTCTGCCCACATGTTGTGACAGCAGAATAATTACATTTCTATATTCTTTCCAAACACATGCAGCACATGTCAAAACAAGCTTAAATTGTTCTGTTAAAGCTAATAAGAACAACTGGAGGACTGTTTAAGTATCTGTGCAACACAACTAAATGAACTCCCTCTTAAAAATCATGTGCTTTTAGAGTTTTGGACTTCTGGCTTCCAGTATGATCTTGTTATTGGTCCTTTAAGCCAGTGCAACAGAAACAAAAGATTTAAAAAATGAAAAATCATTTCTGTTATATAATGTCTGTTTATTTTTGTGTTTATTGTTATATTCTCGACCCTTGTTTCATTTCAAAAAGGTACGTTATTATGACTAGTAAGTTTGCCGCAAGCCAAATCAGCATTGTTTGTGTCTCCCTACTGCCCCCTAGTGTAAAATAAACTAAAAGTTGCTGTTAATTCCTTGAGTGACATAAATCGGCTCAAATCTCAGTTTCAATCTGATCTTCAACTAAATGTACTACTGCAGTGAACACATTCACAAATCCTTTAAGCATCTTTTAACCAAGTTATCAACATAAATTACGATCTGTAATAATAAATAAATGTAAATTTGTCAGGTGTTAGGATCCCCAGCATGTAAAAGTGTATTTATAAGGCCAAATGGTATTTAGTTTGCGACTTACTTGGGTCCAAAAGTTTGAATAGAGATTTCAGGTTAACCACAATTTTGAAATTTCATTCAGTGGTTAAAATTATTAAAATTTATTAAAGATACTAAAGTGTAATTTTTGAACTCTGATTAATCACTAAAATTCCAAAAATGTTAGAACACTGTGTAAAAAGTAACTATAAAGAATTCAACGATTAAAGTCCAAACTGTACTCCCAAAAGAACAAATATTTAAACGGACACATTTACTTATGTCATAAAATATATTGGTTTATTTTGAATTTTATGACCGCAACGTGTCTCCAAAGTTGGGATACGGAAACAATGTAAATAAAAATGTAAGTGGTACTGAAAAGCAACTCATTAGCTTAACTGGCAACAGGTCAGTAACATGACTGGGTGTAAAAAGAGCATCTCAGAGAGGCGGTTTCTTCTTTGCTTTATGCACATCCACATTGTGCTGTTGCAGATGGTCAAGCTGCCAATCAGTGCTGAGAAGTATATACAGGTTTTAGAGGATATGCTCCCATCCAGACATCATTTACATGGATGTCTGTGTGTATTTCAGCAAGAACGAAAACTACGACAAAGAAGACACAAGCTAGAATCCTGTATCAGAAAAGAATGAACTGTTGCTAACTGTGGTTAAACAGTTAGCAGGTGTTTTCTTGACATTTTACACAGGTTGTATAACCAGAGTTGTGTTCATTGACGTTAAATTGTTAAGCATTTTCAACCTGTGCTCTACGACAACAATAATCAAAGCAGCCAACACTCACTTGTCTTCTGCATCCAGAGGAAAGCTGAGGAGTGCTGAACTGTTTTTTACCTCACTCTGCTCCACATCATCAAACCTTAGCAAAACCGGTATGTTGGCATGGCTACACATCAGTGCCCCCTTAAAATGGTAGTGCCAGATAAGTTGGTCTCTAGTGGCTGGTTCGCAAAAATAAATCTCATGTCCGATGGAATAGAAATTGTAATGTGAGTGACTGAATGTATAACTAACATGACAACAACCATTTTTAAAAATGCTTCAACAAACGAATGAGTCTCTTCTCTTCGCAATTTCAAATCCAGTCTGTTAAAAAAGCTCCTCACACTATTCAAAGTTTAGCTTTAGCAGGACGTTTTTGTATTCTGTAAAGGTGTCCTGACCTAAAAAACACAGGTGAAATGCATCTGTGTTCCCCTGAAGAGAGGGCAGAGACCTCACTACAGGAAACCTGGACACAACACCACCTGGGCTCATTGCTTTTTCTCCTTGCATTAAGCTGAGTCATCATTTCACAGCTACGACATTGACTCCTTTGGCTCTCAGTCTCATCACTGGAATGTTCAGCTTGTTTCAAGTGGAAGACAAACCTAAACTTAATAGCGACGAAGTTAAAACTATAATAATACACAAACAATAATGTGGAATGTGGAATGTCACAGTCACAAATTTTACTGAATGAATCAAAACACAATTTTGTAATATTACATTAAAAAAAGTTTGCATTTCCTGTGTTCTAATCCTTTTAGAGTTTGAGACATTAAAATCGGATCAACAAGAGGGGCAATCAGTGAACCCTCGAAATAAGCAGATTAAAGCTTCGCTATTTATCTTATTCCAAAAACAAAACGCACTCAGTGACTCTGGGTGGTTCATTGTGGCTTAAACCAATTGAATTTCATTCCCTTGGTTATATTTCACAGCCCGGTGAAATTCTTTTCTACCTAAATTCCATTGTGACAGTTTAGGTTATTGTTATGAGGGATTACTGTGCGCTTATGAAAGGAAACAGGTGGCACCTTTGTCATTAAAAAGTGAATCTCCAGCTACTATGAAAGCTCCATTTGAGAAAAAGGCCACGCATATGTGAAGATATGTTTATATAGTTTCATCAAGGGAATATGTGACAAAATACAGGAAATCCCTAATCACACAGAGTAAACACTGGTAATTGGATACCCTAATTACTTCACTCAAACATAAAAGATTATGTGGATCAGGTCTTGGTGCCAGATGGCCTGCTGCATCCAGGATACTTAAATCAGGATTTGATTTTGTTTATCTCTAAAAGAAATCAAAGCACCGTGCTTTCAATCTTATGTTGAAGCTAATAAGAGCAAGTGGAGGATTGTGTATGTGCGGGAAGCCAATTATCAGTCTGACACAAAGTGAGGGCCCACACACACAAACATATTTACTAAGCTGACAGTTCAGGTCAGCTCTCACTTTCTCTTTCTTCTTGCCAAATGAGAAACTTTTTTGTCTGATTTCAGTCAGAGTTGATGGACCTTTGCTTAAAAAAAATGACAGCAAGCACACAAACGAGCAGAAAACTTCCAAAGTTTGCTTTTGCTTTTTTTCAGCGAAGTTGTCAGTTTGGAACAAATACTGAGAGGCAGTAAAGTCAGCGCCTGTCTGCTCCCCGCCCACCTCCTCGCTCTTCTTTTGCTCCCAGGATGTCTACAAGGCCTCAAACTAGTGAAGCTCCAGCTGTTCAAGGCTCAACAAGCCTCTAACACACACATGCACACACTTCCACCCCTCACTACTCCTCTTATTGATTACCAGGCAGCAACATGGATAGCTTTTTGTTCCTGAGCGCCTCTCCTTTGTTTTCATTTAGCGCTCCGTTAGTGTGCAGTGGGAGATGGATAATTGCAGGGTTCATGCTGGGGCTGGATAGAGGCCGCCTCCAAGGGTGATTAATATTCCTGGGAAATATTTTGTCTCTCTAGAGGCCTCATCCAAGCTTCAAATACCTGTATCTTTTATTAATGATTCACTTAGCTCGGCTTTATTAGGCCACCTCTGATAAGTAACACTATTCTCAGTTTGGCGGGAGGCTTATACATTTCCAAAAAGATGAAGAAGAAAAAAAGAAAAACCCATGCTAAGTTGCTTGAAGTTTATTCGTTCTTTTAAAAAAAATCTTACAAAACGATCTCTTTGAATCCGACTCCCTTTTGTCACTTTTGATTCACTGTCTTAGTCGCTATTCTCAGTAGAGGTGTTGGAACAAGATGGCTCATACAGCGTCTCTCTGTAAGTGAAGAACAGGGAGATCCCGAAGCACCATTCTGGCTAATAGTGATAAAATATACCAGAGTGGAACCTTGTTAAGTTCGAGAAGCTGCAGTTCACTTTTCAGCTGATACACAGTGAGGTCATACATATTGACTTCCGCTCCCTGAAGGCCCCTGCTGTGAATAAGACTGTCCCTCAGGCAACTCGCCTTATTAAAAGAGAGTTAAGGCAGTGTCCGAGGAAGGGCTTTTTTAAAAGTGGCACTTTCAACTCTGAGATGACTGAACAGGCTGAAACCTAAGCAGCTGTGGGGGGATTCTGGTTTGGTGTGTCGAGAGAGAATCCTGTAACTCAAGTGCTCCTGTATGGATTCTTTTTGTTGAGGACCTCTTGACTGAGATAGTGAAGCTGAAATAGCTCACTTGGGAGAGTGCTAGACTGAAGATCTGAAGGTGCCATTCCAATACTGGGTTTTAGCAGCGGAAAGGCTGCTTCTGCAGAAGGCACAGGTGGGACAATAAAACACGTTTCCTGCTGAAATTACTTTTCTTTGCATGGAAATGTTGGGAATTTTTGAGTCTTTTTTTCCCACAATAGTTGGTTTAAATCTTCTAGGATAAAATGTAAAACATCTAAAGAAGCTGACATTTCAAAAGCATCTTCGGAAAAAATGAAATGCAGTGATTTGCTTAAAATTTAGGAGCTAAAAACAGCACTTCCATATAAATAAGGTAAGTATATTAAAAGTTAGACTTCAACAAATTTGTTTTTAAGACTTATTCATTTGTGCTCTGAATCTGGAAGGTTCTGAAGTTATAGAATAGAATAGAATAGAAT